GACATGGGGACGCCTGCAGCCGCTTCTGGACATTCACCCCCCTGCCTGGCATGCCGGGCGTTACGCAAGCCAGCAGCACCGTTCGTTGCAGCCGAGGAACCGCAGTGTAAACCACACACCATTAGATAAAAGCACTTAATTTTCCAGTTGGCTCTAGCTGGCCGGGGCAGCCACCACCACCACAGGGGAGGACGTTGTCCCCAGCCCCGGGGGAGCTGTGGCACGAAGGGTCCCAGTGCTCCTCAGGATGGTCCTTGCCCCGCCGCGAAGAGCAGAGAGTCCGTCTGCAGGGGTTTGTCGGGGCAGAGCCGGCACGGGAGCACCGGTCCTTCGGGGTCCGGCTTAGAATCATAGAATCACAGAATGGTTTGGGTTGGAAGGGACCTTAAAGATCACCTACTTCCAAGCCCTCGCCGTGGGCAGGGACACCTTCCACCAGACCAGGCTGCTCCAAGCCCCATCCAACCTGGCCTTGAATGCTTCCAAGACGGGGCCCCCCCCAACTTCTCTGGGCAACCTGTTCCAGCATCTCACCACCACCCCCCACGGTCAAGAATTTCTTCCTAACATCTAATCTAAATCTACCCTCTTTCAGTTCAAATCCGTTACCCCTCATCCTATTGCTACACTGCCTGATAAAGACCCCCCTCCCCATCTTTCCTGTAGCCCCCCTTGAAGGGGTTTTCTCTTCTCCAGGCTAAAACTCCTCAACTCTCCCAGCCTTTCCTCATGGGGAGGTGCTCCAGCCCCCTCATCATCTTCGTGGCCCTCCTCTGGCCCCGCTCGAGCAGGCCCATGTCATAGAATCATGGACGCACAGAATCGTTGGGGTTGGAGAAGCCCTTTAAGCTCCCCTAGTCCAGCCGTTCCCCTACCCCTGCCATCCCACCCCTAACCCATGTCCCTAAGCAATGTCCTTATGCTGGGGCTTCATCCCAGGGCTGCCTGCGGAACTGGGACCAGCTGGGGGGGACGAAACTGGGACCAGCTGGGGGGAAAGACCAGCTCGGGATGTCGCTGGTTGAATGACGCCAAGGTCACCCGCGCCGAGCTGCGTCAGTGGCGCCCGGGGCTGGACCGGGCGTCCCGGCCTCCATCACAGCACCACGTGCGTGACACGGCCGTTGGCACCGTCACCTTGTCTTGCACTTGGGGGGAAAAACAAAGCCAGACCTCACACCAACGAGCTGGGGACCAGCCTGCCCAGAGGCACCACGCGGGCTGAAGCTGGCTCTCCTCCCTCGGTAGCGCTTTCAACCCAGCTCTGAATAATAAAAGAATTGAGGATAGAGGCTAAATTGCAGTGGGGGGATGAAATGAGCCAGAACCTGGTAGGATCTGAGGGGTGATGTTGGGAGAAAGGGGATGAAACACCTAATTCTCCCCGAGTGAAGTGGAAGGCGCAACCTGTTCAGCTTGGGGGTGGCAGGCTGGAAAGGAGAAGGTCTTGGCTGACCCCCAAAATGGAAAATCTGGACTTGGCAGGAGGCCCCAGCCTGAAAACCCTGCGTGGAGCCTTGGCATCGAGTTCCCCACCGGCCTCGTGAGCCGGTCTGTGCCTGCGGGTAGGTGTAAACCGCAAAGAAAATCAGCGATTAGACAACAGCATCTACCCCACGCTTCGCTCCCTCGCTCCCCCGGCCCCGCGCAAGGCAGCGGCGCTGAACACGAGCTCAGATAAGGAGCAGCCCTAGCAAAGGGGCTGGTTGGCCACAACCACGTCTTTGCTGCGTTACGCGTGGAAAACATTTATTTGTAGAAGGCTATGGGAGCAGAGTGCTTGAGGACGCGTCCCTTGGCGGGGAAGCCGCTGTAGCCAGCTGCCCTGGGGCGGCTCCGACGGGCTCTTAGGTTGCATTTCTCTCCCCCAAAACACCGGGTGTCCGCACGCAGGGAAGAGGCTGCTCCTGCCTCTTCCTCCACAAGCACGCAGGGGATTTCACTGCTCCACGGGGACGGGCTGAGGGTGATTTGCCCTGGCTGCTGCAGATATCAGGAACAGCTGCTGCAAATGCTGATGGTATCTAAGGGAGATCCAGAGCAGGGGCTTGCTGGTTTGCCTGGCTCTTGCTTGATTCCCCCATGCTGGGAGCCCTTTGCAAGCTTCCTTGCGCCTCGGTGCCGGCGGAAGGCAGAGGCTGTACCCCTGCAGAGCCCAGCCCATCAACGGCGGCGCTTTTGGGGGGCAGTTTGGAGAGCTGTCAAAGCTCACGCCTTCCTACCCGTTCACCCTCCAAGGACTGGGACCCAGGGCTTCCTCGGGAGCTGCTGGGCTTGGGATGCACTCCACGCCAGGGCAGGTAATGCCGTAGATCCACAGGAGCCAGTGTGGGCTGTGGGAGGTGGCGGCTGGAGCTCTGCAAAGCTGGTAGCCACAGGCATGTGTCGGTGTGGCTCCCGTATCAGAGAGTCTGTGATGGAGAGGAGGGTCCTGCTGGAAGGTGGAAAGAGTCCTTGGTCCAGCCCCACGGTGGGGAGCGGGAGGTAACTGGTGGGTGGGGGGTAAGTGCTCCATCTCCTCGGGCAGGGATGGAGATCCTGATGACGCCAGGGTGGTCTTTCCATTATTTTTGGGAAAGGTATCCGCTGGGATGTTCATCCAGCAGAACGGTGAAGTGGGCTGAGGGTGGGCTGATGCGGGGGTGAGCTGCCTCCATGGTGTACACCCTTCTGCACCCTGCATGGATTTTGGAACTGAGCAGAGAAGCTTCCCTGAGCAACAGAAAGCCCAAGGGCAGCAACACTTCAAGGGCTAAATTCCTCCTTCGGAGCAAGCGAGTTGGGCTTCGGGGCCTGAAGCCTGGACTCGCTGTCATGCCTCGCTTCAACCTGGTCTCCCTTGCTTTTGGGGCTGCTAAGTTTTGGGGGTTTTTTTAGAGGAAACGAAAATGAGAAGTTTTTTTCAAGAGCTGTTTATCCATTTAACCCTTCCTTTCACCAAACAGCACATTCAGACATAACCTAAACCCCCCTGGGGCACAGAAGGCAGGGACGAACCCGTGCTCTCACGTCAGCCCTCTTTCTGGGCAAAGAGGGTGCTTGAGGTGAATGTCCTTGTATTTAAAAAGCGCAAACTGGAAAAGCCTCGTGCTCAGGACCAGTGCTTTAATGAAATGTGACCCGTTGTGCAACGGTAGGGGAAATACAACTTGGTTTGCTGCGTAACTCGGTCGCCCTGGCAGCTAAAGCTCCGTTGCCCCGAGCGGCGCAGGGACCAGAGAAGCCACAGCAGCTGAACGCCCGCTCCATTCGGATAAGAAGGTATATTCCGTGTTTCCACGCTGATAGGTGGGCCTCTAGGTGAGCTGGCCTCTTCTCAGCACCCCAACCGTATCCCAAATTCGGGGATTGTATCATGTAATGAAGACTCGGAGCAGTTTTCCAGTCTTTTACTGCAGATCCCTTCACTGCACGCAACTGTCGCTGAAAGAGAGCCCCGCGTGCAAAGCCGTGATCACCGAGGGCCAGGAGTTCAATTTTTCAACGGAAAGAAATTGTCAAATTATGGCAAGTTTTAGGATAAGCTCCTTCTTCTGTCAACAGAACCCATCGCCAGGAGCCAATGGAGAAACAGTGTTTTCAGACGGGCATTGATTTTTGGATGCATCGTTCCACACAGAATGAAGAAGCCGTGGAATTCAGCACCGGAAAAATCTCAGAACAAGCATTTAGCCACCGTTAAAGCCAAGACCAAAAGAAATGGGGAGCGGGCAGATGGAAAATAATCACTTTTAGGGTGCGAAATGACTTTCCCATAGGGCTACGGAGGCGCTTCTTCAGATGAGAATCGCTGAAGCGCTTCTGATGACTTTGGGGGGAGGTTCGGAGCCGCTCAGCCAGCCCCGGGCACCGCACAGCTCCCAGCACGCACTTGGCATCCTCGTTCCCTTCAATCCTGATGGTTAATTCCTAGGGGAAGGGTTTTGATGGAGAAACATACGGGCTTGGTCATTCCCGGGCGGGAAGCGGTGGTGGCTCATGCTGATGGCTCCAGAGATAAGGGTCCTCTTCCCTCCAGGCTCTTGGCCCCGATCCCCCAGGGCAGGTCCAGTGCAATGAGGGGGCTGAAGCCAGCTGCCTGGCAGGACAGGCGGATTTCAGCCCCCTCCTGTTGTACTGAGCTTCCCTGTGTCGGTGACAGCATGATTCCACGCCTGCACCCAGCTCTTTCCATCCAGGCTCCCTTCACTCTTTATTATCGTGGTGTTGGGAGCCCTCTGGGGAATGTCAGACCCTCGGAGTTTGGAGGTAGATGTGGTGCAGCCCATCTATCGTTTAACACCCCTCCAGCTTCATGCCCTGGGATGGAAGGGGAAAATCAGCAGCACAAACAGCCTGGTGGGTTCGTTGTGTGGGTAAAGACGGGGATGGCGCTGGAGGCAGCGACGCTGGGGACGTCCAGGCTCGGGGTGCCATCGAAGGGGATGTAGCACAAAA